AATGTCACGTTCAGAATTTATAGTTTTTTTTTCTTTCCTTCCTTCCTTTCTCTCTTTCTTTCTTTCTTTCTTTCTTTTTTTCTTTATCTCTTTCTTTCTTTCCTCCTTTTATACTTTTCTAAAAATAATTAGATTGAGTTACCAAAAACCACCACGTCCCACAAGACCTCACTAGGGTTTCCCTATTAAATTCACCCCTGTGCCGTCCTTAAGTGCACTTTCATATCTAGATCCCTCGTTCTTTGCACGACTTATGTTGTCTTTAACAACCTTATCAATATCCTTTAACTTGACAATGATTTGATACCCCATGGCACGAACTTCTTAATAACGCGCGCGCGATGTTGGGGCTCTGTTCATTGGAGATTTCATTCAAAACATTGTCAATAAAATTAAACTCGACCAGAGGGAGACAGACTTTGAGGGCGCGAAAACTTTAAGTGAAGATGTTTAGCATTTTCCCGTGCGTCATCAACTCGCGCGCGTGCGTGCGCTCGTTCCGTTTATTCTTTTGATCACTAAAAACAAAAGGGAAAGAGCACACGCTCGTAAATTGATGACGCACGGGAGTAGGGTAAGGCGAAATTTAAACTGCATCCGGTTACTAAAAATAGCCCAACCGATAATTTACACGGCGCACGCATGTTATTATGAAGTTTCCCTCTCTTATTTAAAGTCAATTCAAAAAACGTTGTCGTCGACCAACTCATGTCTACGCGACTGGACCGAAAGGAACTCTGGGTAGCAATCATTGAAGCCGAGTTGACTCCATAATTTATCTGACTAGTTATGGTTGGTTTACAGCACGAACCTTCGTAGGCGAGCGGGAAGTGTTGAAGGAGACGTTTTTTTAATGCCTTCATATTTTCGAAATTGTGAACTGGATCATAACTTTTTTGTTTTTCTTTCCCTAAACCATAAGACATGCATTTGATGGATTGTTTCTCGCCATTATTATGTTATTACTAGCTATTACTAGGGAACAATTAATTCAGAACGAAGATTTAACCGTTTCAGTGATTTTTACCCATATTCCTTTCGGTCCAGTCGCCTAGGCTTGAGCCGGTCGACGACAACGTTTTTTGAAATTGACTGTATGCTCTCTTGACAATATCTCATCTCAATATGATGCTGATTTTGCTCGCTCCTGATTGGCTAAAGTTTTTTAAATTAAGCGGTCCTGGTTTATCCCGGTTAGTGTGTCCGCTGAGGAATTGCCAAGTTCCAGCCCTCGTTTATGCAACACTAATTATTCTAACACCACATATTTTTCGATGAGGTTTGCCAGTTGGACTGCAAAACCAAACATTATCAACAGATTTATGGGGTTATTTATAAACCTCTTGTGAAATGAAACTACTTGTTAACATTTCAAATCACTTGAATCTCTAAATTTAAATTTTTTTTGCAAGCTGCCAAAACGATAAGATGTGGAATGTAATGAAAACCACATTTATCAACGTCAATAACCAATTTTTGAAATATTTTGAGAGATAACCTTAAGTAACACGTAAGCTATAACTTTGTCAAAATTTGAAAAAAAAAGTTATATTAGATTCTAGAAATCTCTGTAATAGCGCCTTTATCAGTAGAATATCTCAGCAAGATATAAACAAAACTTATAATTTTCACTGCGTTTGTTTAAGCTTGAAAAGAAAAATTCCATTGATATGTAACATTTTGAATTCAAAACTTTATTAAATATATTTATTAATTTCGGAATGTTATGCTCTCTATTCTCTATCAATTCTCTATTTTTTCATTAAAACTAAAAAAGTAAATAAATGGATGGGATGGGATGGGATGGGATGGGATGGATGCATGGATGGATTAACGGATGGATGGAAACGAATCCCAATTGAACGTAAGGTCCCCCATCAAATAATCCTCCCAATATTATTTCCTATTGGTAACAGAAAACACCTGGTTTTCGATGCTTTTTGAGTTTTAAAAATACTTCTAGTTTGTTCTACATGCATTTCCCATCAAAAGAAGCTTTAAACATTAATTAATTGAACAGTGTTCAAGATTTTATCTTCCTACACATTTGAATGGGTCGATCAACGAGCTGCTCAACACAACAAGAGAGATAACAAGTTGGTATGTTGATTAATATAACTTTTGTTCTTCAAAAATAAAAAAAGAAAAGAAAAAAAGAAAAAGAAAAAAGAAAAAAAAGAAAAAAAAGAAAAAAAAAAGAGTCTAGTATGGGAAAAAGGGGGAGGGG